ATTGGCCGCCTCCTGCACGCCCCCTGCTGGGAATCAAGTTGGCAACCTGGGCATGTGGCCTGACTGGGAATCAAACCATGACCTCCTGGTTCACAGGTCAATGCTCATCCACTAAACCACATCAGCTGGGCCCAAGATCATATTTTACTAAATATGGATATATTTTTAAAAATATATATTTTTATTGATTTCAGAGAGGAAGGGAGAGGGAGAGAGATCTAGAAGCATCAATGATGAGAGAGAATCATTGATCAGCTGCCTCCTGCATGCTCTCTCCTGAGAATTAAGCCTACAATTGGGCATGTGCCCTAGACCGTGGAATCAAACCCAGGATCCTTCAGTCCACAGGCCGACACTCCATCCATTGAGCCAAACCAGCTAGGGCAATGTGGACATATTTTTTAATGGCCAACTGTTATTAGCATCATTTGAAAAGAAAGGGCATTTTTACTTCAAAAAAGTAGGAGAAAAATAATCTCAGAATAAAGAATAGTTCTCTGCTTTGAATAAATTTAGATTTATGAAAAACTCATTACATTATCATTACCTTTCTCACTTCCTGGAGGACTGCTAAGCATTTCAGCTCTTGCCCTGGCTGGCATGGCTCAGTTGGTTGGGCATCGTCCTGTGCATTGAAAGGTTGCTGGTTCAATCCCTGTCAAAGGCACATGCCCGGGTTTCCGGCTCATTCCTTTGTAGGGGGCCTGCAGGAGGCACCTGATTGATATTTCTCTCACATTGAAGCATTGAAGTCTCTCTCTCTCTCTCTCTCTCTCTCTCTCTCCCTAAAAATCAATTTTTAAAAGTCTTAAAAATTCTGCTCTCACCTCTAGACTCTGAGTTGAATCTTCAAGGTTCCTTCAACTGCTGGCTCTTTCTTGATTCTTTTTTGCTCTTGATGTCTCTAACATCTGTTCTTGGATATATACAGCTGTGAATTCCTAGTGTCTTAAGGCCACCTAGCCCAGCTGTGCTGTCTTTTTTTCCTGAAGCCTGGTCTCAGGTTGCTCTTTTCACACCTCCATTCAGTAATTCATAAAAACATACCTGCACTTAAAGCCAACCATCATCTTATCTTGGGATTTCCACATTGCCCCCCTCTTTTTATTGAATGTATTGGGTGACTGGTTAACAAAATTATACAGCACAGTGCCTTGTATTTTTTTAAATATATTTTATTGATTTTTTTACAAAGAGTAAGGGAGAGGGATAGAGAGTTAGAAACATCAATGAGAGAGAATCATTGATAGGCTGCCACCTGCACGCTCCACACTGGGGATGGAAATAGCCTGAGTGAGGACATTATTTACTGTCTCCGTTTCCCCTTATATCTCTCTGGTTTGGTGCTGGGCCTTTTGTTCTCTTCCTCTTCTGAGGAAATATGTCATAGACTCCTTTGGCTTCAACTAACATCACTATCCCAAAATCTCCATGATTTGTATTCTAAGCCCTGTTTTCCTCTCTATGCTCCAAACTCCTTGTCTACAGAACATTTCTAGCTAATGTTTTATCTTCTCCAAAGATAAATTTATAATCTTTCTCCAACCCTACAAATCTCCTCCAGTATTCCCTCTGATATTAGAAACTGAAACCTCATCCACCCAGTTACTCAAATCAAACCAGGTACCATCAGGCCGGCTGGAGTGGCTCAGTTGGTTAAGCATTGTCTTGTGCTGGGTCAATTCCCGGTCAGCGCACGTACCTGGGTTTGATCACAAACAACATCTGTGTTTTTTCTTTCCTTCCTCTCTCTAAGCATGTCCTCAGGTGAAAATGAGATATCATCCTTGATACCGGGTCCTCCTTTAATGCCCTCCCCCAAATCCAATCAATCACCAATACCTCTAATTTACCTCCTAAAATGCCCATTTCTCACTGTCTTCACT